AGACATGAAAAGGCTAAGGAATACTTTGTTCCTGCATGCACCATTTGATGATATTTAGGGAGTCACCTTCAATTAAGATTGGACCTGAAATGCCTTTGCTGACAATCACTTCTAGCCGTTGTAAAAGTCAATAAATTTCCGCTTGGTTAGTTGTGTTATTGCCACAGGGTCTTACATAAAAAAGATTACCGTCCCTTCATGATCTCTGAGCAAACCACCAACTTCAGCTGGATCCAGATTTCCAATAAAGCTACCATCAAAGTTGAGTTTGAAAGAGGAGGCTTCCAAACATAGTGAGGATGACAATTAGGAGCAAACTAAAAGACTAAATTCTTAAGATTAACAAAGATATCAACCCGAGTAACTCCATGTCCATCAGGGGTGGATGAGTACTAATCCCAAAGAGCCCGTAGTATACGATCTTTGATACTATCAATATTAAGAGAAGCCCCATCAAAGGTTCGCCTGTTTCACTCCTACCAAATCTACCAACAGATTGCACTTCGAAAAAATTTCCAAATCAGAACTCCTTTAGAAGATAGACATGCCGATGATGAATGATGTCAATTAAATTTGCTAAAAGCATAATGAACAGACCCCAAATATTGAAAGCCCATCGCCAAATACTCCTAGCAAAAGGACAATACAAACATATGTGGTTACTAGACATTTACCCTGCACGGCTACCCAGAGAAACGCTTGAATTTTCGACAGAAATTGTATCTAGCTCTAAGGGAAAAAGCAGTTAAGAGAGCACTCTATGTGTATTTATAGTCTCTTAAGAGTACCCCACATTACTTAGGATCCATAGTTGCACTAAGGGGGTTTAGACCTAAGGTAGGAGTATCGAAACTTTACTGTCATTTCAAATATTTTATTGGTAGGATACGCAATCATCTTTGAACGTCCATTAGCGACTTAGGTCAAATCCACACTTTGTGTGGTGTTGTGCATAGATTAGGTATAGGGAAAATTACAAAAAACATTTTACACTGCACTTTTTAATGCAACTTACCCTCAAATTAAATTTTTTTTTTTAAATATATTATTTATGCAAAAACCCCAACTAAATAAAAAATAATAATATATCTAAACTACCATTCCTCACTTTTTACCTTACCCACGCCTTTTTCTCCTCTATCCCACCAAAGTAGGTGGCTCAAGCACTGTGTAAATACGGTCCGGTAGTAGCGCTTTGGTACCGTATAAGCAAACCGGCAGTTGCAAATGGCATTCCGGCAATTGAAAAGTGTAGTTGCACAGAGCGGTCCGGCACTTGTGCGCTCTAGCAATATGATAGTGCGCTCCGACAATGTGCTACTGGGTCTAAAAGTAAACGTCAAATATGTCGAAAATGAATGATTTTTGTATATAAGAATGGCATTTTCGTTTAAAAAATGAATTTTTTTCTTTGAAGTATTTGCATAAAAAGTATGTTTTGAAAAAAAAATTGAAAAAAAAAATAGGTTGGAGGTAAATTATATAAAATGTGTGGTCTTGAGTTTTTTTTTTTTTATAATTTTTTTTTAAGTTATGTCTTATTGGGCTCTAGCTCAAATGCCGAATCCGTAATCTCTTTCTAGGACAATGACATCGCACCACCTATCCGAAGGGCATTATTGCTACACTCATTGGGACCCAAACCAACACCAATGAAATAAGAAAGCGGATTATTGCTATACTCCTTGGGACCACCAAACCAACACGAGTGAATCAAGTCCTTGTCAAGTGTCAACATAATATTATCATAAAAATACTCTAGTCTATAAATAGGTAGTCCCATGACCACCGGCTCGAAATTATCGGGTACGATTAGTTCTGGGTCTTCTGCTAGTTTTTGGCCGAATGTATTGTTTACTGAGACCCGTCCGATCCAACTAATCATCAATCCCGATAGCAGTTCTTGGGTGATTCTAGGTCAAAGGGTCAAAGCGCCATAACCTTGTTCGGCAGTTATATTTCGGCGAAATATAACCGAACTTTATAACGATGGCACGAAATATTCAACTAATTCTCAACGTTATATTTTGTCTTTCATGGCTAGGCAAGATTCCAAAGTGAGGGGCGGCGATCGCTATACGTGCGGCGGCGATAATAGCAGTAGGTGGGGGGGAGGAACCTTTTTCAATTCGCAAAAACGGAGTAGGGGTTGGCGATCACTATGCGTGCGGCGGCGATAGCAGTTGTAGGTGGGGAGAATCCTTTTTTAATTCGCACAAGAAAAACTTTTTCATCGGGTAAGGAAACCATTTTTAAGAATGAGAAATTGAACAAAATACCCTCGGCTTTTGACTAATAGACTTCTACATAACTACAATTGTTTTATTTTTTTGGGAAGAACATATAATGAGATTATTTATCTTTGGTATAAAGTGGTCATATTTAATCTTGACTATTGGATGTGAAATTAGACAGTTGTATTTATTTCATTAACCAAACCATTGCTTATAAAATTGAACGATTTACCTGCTAACCGCCTGGTTAGATCGGAACCGTCACTGGCCCATTTCTGATTTTGGGCGGTTTTGGTGATCAATCGGTATTTTTAAAAAATAAAAAATATATATAAATTCTAAAAAATAAGAAATTTGATTTGTAATGTATTTTTTAATATTCTTTACATTATGGTTAAGATTAAAAAATGTTTTGGTCATAAATACTCACCTTTATATTTTCTCATCTTTTTCAGAAAATTTTAAAAATACTCCTAAACACAAATTGATTCGTTAAAATTTATTTTTTCATTAATTTTCAACTTCATTTGAATGTATTTTGTTTTAATCATTCTTTATGTGCTTTTCATATGTTAGTAGATTTTTTTTTGTATCTTTTTTTTTTTTTCAACACTTTTTTGATCGCTTGGGACTTGTCCGGTTAGAGCGGTTGAATCGGTCGGTTTACCGGTTAGATCGGCTAAGCCGCTTCTGGGCCTCATGTTTAGTTAACCATTCCAATTTGATTTTGCGAATACTTGACCAAACTCAAACCTCAAAAAAAAAAATTCAAACTTTATGACACACCCAAACTATCGAATTTCATATCGAATTATTGTGTAACTAATTGACCTCCTCGTATCAAAAGTAAATGATCTTATTGTATACAATTCCTTTTATTTGAAAGAAACAAAACTCCCGTTTTATCTTTCATATAATAGAAGTGAATAAAAGGGATTACTCAGTATCATGTTGCTCATTAAGCATCCACCATTTAGTGCTTGTTGGGCGGTGGAGATTGAATTAGGAACGATGACAATGTGTAACCATCGATGACTGCAAATTACATTGTGAACTACTTTGAGAAACTCAAACAAAAACTCGTTCAATTTTTTCTTGATGACATTCTTTGAAACTTTATCCTAGGTTTGGATGGTAGGCTGCCACGTTTTGAGTTCTATTTTTACTGCGGTTAGAGGATCCAATCCCCAGTGAACTACTTAGAAAAATTGACAATTCGTGTTTTGGTTTGATCCTTTTTCCGAAGATGTTTTAGGAGTATTATGTCTGATGTTTAAGATGTCAAACCACCCCATTCATATCCATGTGGGATAATAGGGCAGTCCCATGTTTTCAATACTCGACTACCTAAGGGTTGGTCTAAAATACCAAGCTGGTTCAAAAATAATAACAATAAAGAATTTAAAGTAGAAAATTGGTCTAATGTTTTTCAACATCGTATTCGTTGTAAAATTGAAATAAAAAAAGATCGGTGAAAAAGGACGCCCCCCCCCCCCCCCCCCGCATCGGAGAAAAAGGACGCCCCCCCCCCCCCCCCCCGCATAAACTATCGCAACCATGACTTTGATAAAAAAAATTCGATTTGTACTTAATTTTCCTTAAAAATCATTCAGATTTTGAGTACTTAAACCAATGTCGTCAGATTCGCTTCGCTTTTGTGAAAGCTTTCGGATTTTAGATCTAGACCAAAGCAAAGTGAAGTTTGACATTGCCGTCCCGGTTAGCTTCGGGCCGATTCGACCAAAGCAAAGAAATATCTATATAAAAATATTATTTTTAGTTTTTGAACTTTTTATTTTTAATTTGTTTATTATTTCTTTTAAATTTTATATATAACTATTTAATTTATTTATATTAATTTTTTAATAAAATTCGGAAATCTTCTCTCGAATTGACTGAAGCACCAAATTTTTTTGATTTTTTTAATAAAACCAATTTAATTTCCTTGACAAAACCCAAAAGCTCCAAAGCAAATTTGACAACATTAACTTGAACCCTTACGGCCTTATACCAAACCACTCGCATTGAACCCTCTTTGTTGGTTCGTTAGGTACATACAAGAGTGCCCTTTAAATCATTTATATATTTTTGTTTAAATCCTTTATTTTTAAGGTTTTATCTTCAACTGGTTATATCGCCAGCTCTTAGGATGACTTTTGGCGGCGAGAGTGAAAGTAGGAAATAAAAATTATAAAAAAAAATTTAAATAGTTTTTATCCAAATAGCCCTAATCAAATAAAAAGAAACTTAAACTATCCTCCCTTACGTTTTTATCTTACCACGCCTCTCTTTCCTTCGTGTAAGTGCACTTTGGCAGTATAACACTCTGAAGTCACAACGCTACTGCATTGTTTATGTATGCTCCGGCAGTGGATCATGAGCTCCAGCACGGTATAAGTGTGCTTCGACAATGTAATCTGGAGTCACAATACTCTAACACTGTCTATGTGTGCTCCAGCCATGGATCATGTGCTCCGACAATGAGCTCCGAAAGTTCAAATCTCTGGCCAAATTGATTTTTGTGTACGAGAAGTGCAATTCTGTCTAAAAAAAATGAACTTTTTTTTTTTGGGGCCATTTGCATAGAAAGCTGTGTTATTTTGAAAAAAAGTGAGAGAAAATCTTAGGTTGGGGTCTTGGTTTTTTGTTTTTTTGTTTTGTAATTTTCTCCAATAAATACTCCCGCGGGAACATAGGACCTTTTGACTTTAACAATAGTTCACGAGGGTCCTTTATGTCGATCATTACCTGCTTTATATAGGCATCTGTCTTGCTACAAATTTTGCCAGCGGACCATCCGAGAAACGAAGCCGCCCCCTTGGTTTAAAGATCTGCGCTACCATTGTTGAACAATTGAGAGTAAAGGAGAGATATTGCAGCCCATTCCTCCATATTTTTAGAGAGAGAGGGAAGGGTTTTGTAGAGAGAGAAACATAGATGGCGGCAAGCAGCCTGGTAAAGCTTAACCTATCAGCTTCGCAATGGATCGGCGGTCACAGCCTCGATCACAGAGTCTCTGCACGCCCATCGGCCCGCAGGGTTATGATGGCGCCGATCAGAGCAAGCGCATTCGCTGATGAACTCGTCAAGACCGCCGTGAGTCCTATTTTGAGTCTCTTCCTTTTTACTTACCCAAAAAGAAAGTCTCTTTCTTTGAATTCTTCTCAAACTTTGATCTTCGTTTTATGGAGATTTATTTTCCTTTTTTTTAAGATTTGGCTAGTAATTGCCTTTAGATTTTGAAATTTTAGTTTTTTTATGCTTTTTCCTTTAAGTCTTATGAATTTTATTTATATTGGAATCGTTCTATTTTTGTGATCTAGTAATCGTCTTCTCTGTTACACCTTTGGCCGCTGGCAAGTTTCTGATAAATTTTAGATTGTTTTATATTGTAATGATTTGTGGATTTAATTGATATCATATTCTGATCATGTTGATATTTATGTGATTTTTTTTAGATATTGATATATATCTTGAATTAATTTCCAGCTTATGATTGATGGTATGCGTAGCTGTTAATTTCTGGCTTTTTTTTTTTGTATTTTTTTCTTCTTTTGGCCTTTCCCCTGTCTTTTGCCTTCAAACCACATGATTTGCAACTAAACTAAACTTTTTGTGCAAGTCAATATACTTTAGCTATAATATATTTTTATTTTCTGGGTAACTGTTGGAAAGAAACCTTAAATGAAAATTGGGGCGAGATTTCTGGAATTTGATTCATTCATTCATGGATATCGACCTTGATTTATCTCAGTTTTTTTGCTTTTACTGGATCAAAAGTTTGGCAACTTATTCTGAAATTCTGTCTGCCCTTGAACAGAAATTGAAATAGTGAATAGGCTCTGTTGTCTCATGCTTACCACAATACCTTTTTTTTTTGGGTAAATACGACAATGCTTACCTCGTGCTTCCCACAATGCTTACTATCATCGTTCCTTGTTCACCAATAAAATGTGTCTTCCTCCAATTTACTTGGTTGTAGAAATCGATTGCTTCTCCTGGACGTGGGATTCTTGCCATCGATGAGTCCAATGCAACATGCGGGAAGAGGCTTTCATCGATTGGTTTGGACAACACCGAACCCAATCGCCAGGCTTACAGGCAGCTCTTGCTAACCACTCCTGGTCTCGGAGAGTATATCTCAGGTGCTATTCTTTTTGAGGAAACTCTCTACCAGTCGACCACTGATGGTAAGAAGTTCGTGGACTGCATGATTGATGAGAAGATCACGCCCGGTATCAAGGTTGACAAGGTATTTATATTATGTCCTGCTCTTCTGTCTCTTATTTTACTCCTTTCGTCTTTTAGATGGTCGTTTGTTTAGACTTGAGGTAAAAACATATTTTTCTTTCACTGATTAAGTTTTACTTCTCTTTATTACCTTTGCTATTTTGTGTATGAAGGGCCTGGTTCCTCTCCCGGGATCGAACAATGAGTCGTGGTGCCAGGGCTTGGATGGTTTGGGCTCAAGATGCGCTGAATATTACAAGCAGGGGGCTCGTTTTGCTAAATGGTAAACTCTATGAAATAAATATGTTTTACTTAAATACGTTTCTATATCACTGCAATGTTAACCAATAATTCATAATTATTGTTATCCTTCGAGTAAACTATGGAAGCAGAAGAATCTGCCAATTTTCTTTTGTTTCTAATCTGTCTAATATATTAGTAATCCTTTAATTAGAATTCATGAATATATCCTTTTCTATTCTCAAATTTCAATAATGTCAATTTACAGGCGCACTGTAGTGAGCATTCCTTGTGGTCCTTCTGCCTTGGCTGTGAAGGAAGCAGCATGGGGGCTTGCACGATATGCTGCCATTGCTCAGGTATTATTTGGATTTGAATTCTGTAACATGTCAGTATAAGGTGGACCTGTTTTCTTGAATCTTTTATTTTAGATGTATTCCTACTTAACATGAACCAATGTTCAAAAATTCAGATTCGGCAGCATAGGCAACTGGGCACCCCTAGAAACCTAGGTAGCCCAAACAAAAAACAAGGAGGTTTATTCCCTCTATGGTGTTCATGGGGGGATTGATTGGATCTGAAAGTGTGTATATATATATATATATATATATATATATATATAAGTACGTACTACTTCTTGTCGACTATAGTATCGTCGACTACTACACTACTCGTACGGAGGAGGTAGAGTACGGACCACCGACGTACCGTA